TACTAAAAATACTCCAAAAACAAGGACATCAGGACGAAATGCGCCCACCTAATCACATATTTATGTAAATTAGCACACCAAATGGTATAGGTCAATATCCTTGAATCATTAATATTATTTTTGATTAACATATTAGTTATTTGGCACGTTTATTTACGATTTGAGCATTTACTTGCAAAAATTTGGTGTTTTTATTTTGCTAGACAGTTAGTCATGCATTGAAAGTTATTTTTACGGTATTGAGAGGAAAAAATATTGCGTCAAAACACCACAAGATCCGACTAGAAAATTTTAACTCTCTAAATGTTCCTGAGAAATTCCACGAAAAAATTTTTCTGCTCAATTCAATGGTTATAAATTTCTGATTGATCTCTGTGTTTAAATGAAAAACACAATGAATTGCAACGATTTGTGCTACATTTAAGTTCACGAAAAAGAGACTGGAAAAAATTATGTAAAAATCAATTTATCTAAAATTGCCCTTATGAATCTATGCGTTTATGCGTTTTTTGAGACCTTTTTAGCAAATGATTTGTCTAACGAGAAAAAATGTATTATTTTGAGTGAAATTTATAAAATATTTGTGTCTACTATCTTATAATTTATTTTCTATTACTTAATTGACGTCAATATAACCTATTAGAAACAGATCCAAAAGCAAGAACGCGATTAGAAATATCTAACACCTCAGGTTGCATACCATTTTGTTCAATATTAATTTTACATTAAAAATAGTTAAATACTATTTTGTAAATGACTACCTGTTTGTGATAAAGATCGAGAAAGTAGTCATACAATTTTTACATAACTAGAAAATGGGCGTATCAACCTTAGTATTGCGACTTAAAAAGACTATATGCAGAAGAAGAACCAGAAACACCAGAAATTACCACAAATCAACAACTTAATATAAATGTACAGGAAGTTCGGAAAATACTTGAAAACCTGAAGAACAGAAAAGCAGCAGGTAAAGACGGGATAATACTCTGCATCGAAACAAAACTCTAGTACCGTCATTATGTATTAATGGTAATATTATGTGATTATAAAATCTAAATTAATAAGATTCTAAACTAAAACGATAAACATAGACAAAAATCTAGTTTTTATAATTTCTTTCAGATAGGAGAATTTGCAAGTAGGCAACAAATAGCGATTAACTGATTGGAGAATTTGTGTGTCAATAATTGTATACAAATCATGTCGAAGACAACTTTGCGTATGCTTGCAATGGCTAATGAAAACTTAGTTGTAAATAGAAGCGACCAAATAGACACTCTACTAGTAAACCAACTAACAAACTCTGATGAAATAGACGCATAAGAAAACCTAAATAAGAAAATACGCCTATAGTTATGGTATTAGATGAACCTCTGCCTGAAGACGCATTATAGAGTTGTTATAGTATTAATTAAGAATTATAGTATTACTACGCCTACACCAGTGCAAAATTGTACGGAATTGGAAGACTTTGACTTAAAAGATTGCTTAAAAGACTTTAACGAAGTAGACTATTTAGCGGTTAATAATAATTGTATTATACCAAGTGATTGTGTATCTAAAGAAATATAGTTTTTTAATAACAGCAGGTGCGATACCAATAATTCTATAAACTTCGTGTTTGATTTTATATACTAGGATGTTTGCCTCCAAACATTCTGCAAATAAATTGAGAGTAACCCAAAGAAAAATGGAAAGAGCAATGTTGGGAATAACTAGAAGAGATATGGTACTAAATAGGATAGTGAGAGAGAGGACTAAAGTGACAGATGTCATAGAAAAAATTGCACAAGCCAAATGGAGATGGGCTGGACATATAGCACGTTTAAATGATAATAGATGGACCAAAAGACTCATAGAATGGAGACCTAGAGAATACAAAAGACACCGAGGCAGACCACCAAAAAGATGGATGGACGACTTGAGAAAAACAGTCGGAAATTGGATACAGAAGGCGCAAGATAGAGAACAGTGGAAGAACATGGAGGAGACCTATATCCAACAGTGGATGCAAGAGGTTGAGGAATGATGATGATGATGATGATGATGACTAGGATGTTTAAGTTACAACAGGAATAGATAACATGGCAACGAAAGACTCCACTGGAGGTTGCTAGCCCTGAGACAAAGTGACTTTGTCTTAGGATAAACCGTTAAAGAATATTTTTGCCTTAAAATTGACTATTATAGCGACTAAATTGGTTTTTTAAACTTTTTCCATCCCCTAGTTGAAGTGGTAATTACCCTCAGTGGAAAAGCATTGGCACATTGCAGATTTTGATCTTTGAGCTATATTCTGTCCATTATCAAAATTTGTTCTGAAGCTATTTTCTTGTGGCATTTTAGAGTAAATACTATTTTAATGGGAATAAGCCACAATTGAAGAGTAAAGGGGCAGCAGAAGGACTGGCCCAACTCTTATGGAAATTAACATGGGAAATCGCTAGGAAATCGCTAAGATCCATCCTGGTAATTTATGGCTCTTTTTGTGGTGGAGGTGCGACGGCATATCGGATCGTGACGTGTGACATATCGCCGGAAAGAGGAGGTGATAACAAATATCTTAAGATAAAAATCAAACGCAAAGACTGTGCCAAAACGGCATTACGTCATATCTCCATTGTTATTGGTCAGATCGTGACGTACGAGGGCTCGTTGGAACTGGTTGAAAGTAGCGAATACTTTAACACAAAAAACAAACGTAAAATACAATGCCAAAAGGACACTAATCTTGTAACGTCTAAACAACTCAACGTACAACAACGTGCAAACTTTCGCTGGAAAGGGGAGGTGGTAACTAATATGTTAAGATAAAAATAAAACGCAAAGACATTGCCAAAATGGCACTATAAGCTTGTAACATCTAAATGACTTAACGTATAACAATGTGTAAGGTATTGATGAAAAGGAGAGGTGTTAACGAATACGTTAACAAAAAAACAAACGTTAAAGACAATGCCAAAAGGACACTAAAAACGTTAAAACAAGTTTAGTGACGTTTTAATTTCCACTTCGGAAATAGTTCTCAAAATGCAAACATTTTTTGTTACTTGATGAAAAATTCTTCTAATAATTTAATGTTATCTGACTCATTTATATTGACAATTCAGACATATAATATATATTTTATATTAAATGATTTTAAATTGATATTGCCAATATTGCTTAGTTGCGTTCCTGGGACGACTTTATTTTAATATAGTTAATTCGATTACAGGAAATCATCTTTAACTTGAGAATATCCATTAGAAAAATAATTCGTCTTTAATAAGACAACCACAACCAAGTAACACAACATCAAGTAACAAAAAACAAGTGAAAATTGAAACGTCAATAAACTAAATTAATTAACTATACTTAGTTTCTGGTGTCATGATTTTTAATAATAAGAAAATACAAATAAACAAATTTTCCAACTCTTACTGGAAATTTCTAAATAAGAAGTGTAGAGACTGAGTAGCAGTTTTAAACCAACGGAAATGAAATCAGAAAAATAAATCATTCGAATATAAAGCAGGAAGAGCAGAAGGGATAAAAACGAAATGTTTTACTAAAATCTACATAAAAATTGTAAAGTAAATCACAATCACATAATTTATAATACAAATATACAATTATATACATAGTATCTTATAATACAGTGGTAAAGCGTTAACAAAGGAAGAGGATACAGAATGGGAAACAAAGAAATATGCCATCGGCAAAAAGTTTTTTTTTTTCTGAATTCTGCTAGCTTGAACATTAAGCCAGCAGAATCGCTCTCATTAAGGGTGGTAAAAAATTATTAGAGTGGTAATAAATTAGTGAAAAATTGGTGAAAAAATATGCCATAGGCAAAAAGTTTTTTTTCCGAATTCTGCTAGCTTGAACCTTAAGCCAGCAGAATCACTCCCCTTAAGGTTGGTTTGGTGGTGAAAAATTATTAGGGTGGTCATAAATTAGTGAAAAATTGGTGAAAAAATACTATGTTGGTTAAATTGGATTCCGCTCATTTGTCCCCGCTAGCTTAAGGACGCAATATTGATAGCCCAATATGCAGATAGTCTACAAAAACTGGTCCACAGATACAACAGAAGAATAAAAGAATTTAATATAAAGATATCTACTCAGAAAATCAAAACAATAGTAGTCAGCAAAGAACCAACCAGATGCAAAATAGAAATTGATGGCAGTATTGAACAAGTAATGGGAATAAAATACCTGGGAATTACACTATCTAGCTATAGATACCTGGACAAAGAATTAAGGAATCAAGTACAAAAAGCAAATACAGTGGCAGGGTGCCTTAATAAAACTATATCGCGAAATAGACACATTAACACTGAGATGGTGAAGAATTTACAAAGTCAGCATAAGATACTGGAAACGGCAGAGATAAGAGTACTGAGAAGAATTACAAGAAATACGCTGGGAGATCGAAAGAGAAGTGAACAAATTAGAAGAAAATATAACGTACAGTGTATAAATAAATGGACACAAAATAGAACAAAAAATGGAATAATATTATAAGCAGAATTGAACAGACCTGTTTCGTCAAAATAGCAAGAGATAAGTCACTAATCAGCACAAGAAGTATCCGATAACCGCGCAAAAGATGGATGGTATTAATCCGCCAATGAACAAGCGTAATTGCTTATAAAAAGGCAGGAGAAGAAGAAGTATCTTATAATCTTATCCTATAAGACTGAAAGAAGTAACCAATGATAGGCAAGACACTAAAAACCAACAATTTCTGCTGTTCCCACCTTTGTACAAGAATTTATTAAAATAAAAATAATATATTATAACAATTGTTCTATGAATAATAATTTTCAGAGTGTAGTAAAATGGAAAATCTTCATTTATTATACCATCGATTAAAAAAAAATGTAACTATCAAAGATTGGAAATGATAATAATAAAAAACAATAAAAAGAAAGCCTGACATATATTGTAGTTTATTATAGTAATTCTTATTTCATAGATATAGCACAATAAATCCAAGAAAATTGAGTACATACCCAAGAAAATCCAATGCACGATATGGCATCCGACAGCATATCACCCAATATCGAAGGGTAGGAGTTTCCACTGGGAAAATATGCATGGAACCTTGGATGTTGCCAATGTGTGACTCCCGGCATGATCTTGCTCTCAACATCTTTCATGATACTCTCCCAGTTTTCCGGTTCTTGTGGAGCTTCACTGGGCAGCAACTTTTTTAAATATCCCGGTTCTATGTCTGGAGTGACTTTGTATTTGTTCATACTTGTCATGTATTGACAAATGTAGTCAACCATTTCTTTGCCGCGAACTCTGAATTCTTCTGCGTCCATTTTGAGATGAAGTAAATATAATTTTTGCGTATAACACGTAAGAACTACACGACCGGTAAGTCAATCTGTAACTAACTCGCGGTTTGATTGTACTGCAATATTTTCATCTCGCGCCAACTTTTATATAATGAGCTTAAAGTTGGCGGTTGGTGGGGCGATAGTCAGCAAATTGTTCAACTGAACCGGTGATTATTGTTTGGATTTTTTGTTGTACGCAGGAAGAACTTGTACGTCTTTAGGCGGGATCTTGATTTTGAAAACGAGAAGCTATTTTTAGACATTGTTAACATAAAATATTAAGACAAGCCCCAGAAGATCTGATGGGTTCAATGGTGTAATATACCGCAATTTGTTTTACGAGAGAAACTACATTGTGACGTTTTCTTGGATTATGCAATATTTAAACTTCCAAATTTGCAAAGAAATAGAAGTTTTGAACATAATAATGATATTTTCGCGACTCTAATTTGTTTTCAATCCGAAGACTATATCAAAATAAAAATTTTAAAGTTAAGAAGATTACTTTTTTATTATTTATAAATTAATACTAGATTTTGTTAATATAAACTAGATCTTAATTATAATTTTTAAATTATCATCATCATCATCACTGGCTCGACAACCCTTTTTGGGTCTTGGCCTGTTCAAGGATTCTTCTCCATTCTGACCTGTTTCGTGCTTTTTTTTCCAGTTTTTAATTTTTAATGTTGTTATATCATTTTCTATTTGTTCTACGTATCTCAGCTTCGGTCTTCCTCTTGTTCTTTTTCCTACTGGCACTTGTTTGAATATTTTGTTTGGTATTTCGCCTTCTTCCATTATTTTCACATGTCCAATCCAACGTAGCCTTCCTATTTTAATGAATGTTATGATATCCGGATCCTGGTATATGTTGTATAGTTCAAAGTTATACCTTGTCCGCCAAATCCCGTTTTCTTTTGTGCCCTTATATATGTGTCGCAAGATTTTTCTTTCAAAAGTGGCTAATAACGTTTCCTCCCTTTTAGAGAGTGTCCAGGTTTCTGAACCGTATGTGAGTACCGGTCTTATTAAGGTTTTGTATATTTGGCATTTTGTTTTTCTGGAGACGTTATCTGATCTTAGTTGCCTAATTAAGCCATGGTAACATTTATTGGCAATAAATATTCTCCTCTTCACTTCCTCTGCAACGTTGTTATCAGACGTAACTAGGGATCCTAAGTATGTAAAGTTTTTTACCGCCTCAATGTTGTATTCTCCTATTGTTAAATTTGGCAGCTGCCTTATTTGTGCGTTTTTATTTGCAGGCATATATTTTGTTTTTGTCTGATTGATTTTAAGACCACTATTTTTTGCAGCTCGTTCTATTTGAGTGAATGCCTCTATCATTTCTCTTCTTGATCTTGCGATTATGTCAACATCATCTGCAAATGCTAGTACTTGCACGCTTTTATTAATTATTGTTCCTCGGGTATTAACTGTTGTGTCTCTTATTATTTTTTCAAGTATGATGTTGAATAATATGCATGATAGAGCGTCTCCCTGGCGTAGTTCCTTCTTCATATCTATTGTTTCCGTTAATTCGTTTTATATCCGGATTTTACTTTCTACTTTTAGTGTTTCTTTTATCAATTCTATTAGCTGTGTTGGTATATTAAATTCTTTCATTGCTTTTGTTAGGAATTCTCGGTTTATATTGTCATATGCGCTTTCGAAGTCTATGAAGAGATGATGTGTGTCGATGTTATATTCACTTGTTTTTTCAAGGATCTGTCGCAAAACAAATGTCTGGTCTATTGTTGACTTCTGTCTACAGAAGCCACATTGGTATTTGCCAACTATTTTTTCAGCGTATGGTCTAAGTCTTTCATACATTACGTTCGACATTATTTTGTATGCCGCATTCAACAGCGTGATTCCACGGTAGTTTTCACATTCTAACTGGTTTCCTTTTTTATGTAGTGGTACAATAATGCCGCTATTCCACTCCTTTGGTAGCTGTTTATTCAACCATATCTTTCTTATCAGCTCATGTATGGCTTTAAGTAATGCGTCTCCTCCTTCTTTCAGTAGCTCCGATGATATTTGATCCGATCCCGGTGATTTATTGTTCTTTAATTTGTCCACTGCTGTTCTAATCTCTGCTATTGTTGGTGGACTCTTTTCTCTGTTGTCTGCTTGGTCTAATGGTATATCAGGGTTCATCTCCGTCCTATTCACCCCAAGCTTTTCCTTAAAATGTTCTGTCCATCTTCTAAGTATCTCTTGCTGTTCTGTCAATATATTACCCTCCTTATCTTTACACATCGTTGTTCTAGGTTTGAACTCTTTTCTGCTTGTGTTGGGTTTCTGGTAAAATTTTCTTGTCTCTGTTGGTTTACTTAGTTCTTGTAGTTCTTGAAGTTCTTTGTTGATATATTCTCTCTTCCTTCTTCGGTGAATTTTCTTTTCTTCTTTACGTAGTTGTTTATATTCTTCCTCTGCTTGTCGGGTTCTGTGCCTCTGTTGCATCTGTAGATATGCTCTGTTTTTTCTTTCTGTTATAGTTTGACATTCTTCGTCAAACCAGTGATTCGTTCTTGTTCTTCTTTCTTTACCTTCCATGCCCAACACCTCTTTAGCTGTTTCTTTTATGATTTCTCTACACTCTTCCCACTCCTCATTTAGGTTTTCATGTTTTGGTCTGTTTTCTAGTTTGATGCTTATATTTTCTTTGTAGTCTCTATTTTTGTTTGTTTCTTTGAGTCCTTCTATATTGTATCGTTCATATTTAGAGCCTCTTTCCTTTTTGATGTTTGAAATTCTAGCCCATATCCTACTTTCGACCAGGTAGTGATCAGAATCCGCATTTGCCCCTCTTCTGGTACGGACGTTTAGTATATTCGATTTTATTTTTTAAATTATAATTTTAAATAAATCTTTACTAGTAGGTATATAATTGCCGTTGGCTATCAAGATTTTTATTATTAAAAGTATAGTGAAATATTGTTTGTTTTACTGCTTCGAATCCAGTAATCACTTCAGGTTATGCGCCCAGTTATCGGCCCAGTTATGTGCCAGTAATGGAATAGTTTGTGATTCGACAGGTAAACAGGAATTTGGATCTTCGAATTTTAGATCTCTGGACACGTGAACGTGATCAAAACAAAGGGAGCAATGGCGGTAAATCTACAAATAGCAAATGGAAGTTTCGCATGGAATTAATGTTGGAACAAAATGATTTGCTGGAAATTTTACAAAAAGACATAATTAATGACACCTTAAAAAAGAATGATGCTAAAGCAAGGAATCTTATAGTGCAATGCTTAGCGGATAATGTGATACAGATGGTAAAAGATAAAAAGGTAGCCAGAGATATATTCAATACTTTAAAAGACACATATTTGCAAAAAGGTTTGTCTGTTCAAGTTCAAATTCAACGTAAATTAAGAAATATCAGGTATGCTAGTGGAAAATTAACAGATTTTATAATGATTTTTGAAAACACGGTGACAGATCTGAAGAATAGTGGTGGAAAAATTGAAAAACTTAAAATTGTTTCACAATTGTTAGCTGCTGTGGCGTTGTCGCCAACGGTTACTCCAAGTCCACAATTCAAAATATTACACACCGACATCTACATCCCCTTTTACACCCTAGGACGACAAATTCAGAATCTTCGGGTAATACTCCTGTGGCTTTTCTTCCGTATATTCGAAATGTCACTGATAGGATTGGCAAAATTCTTCGCAAAGAAGGTATTAGGACTACTTTTCGACCACCCAAGCAAATCTCACAATATCTACCCTCTCCTAAGGACCCATTACCGCCCCTATCTTCCTGTGGTGTCTATTCTATTCCTTGTTCATGTGGATATGTGTATATTGGCGAAACTGGTCGTTCCGTCAAAACTCGGATTCAAGAGCATCAAAGATGCATTCGATCAGGTCTTTTCTCCCATTCTGCAGTTGCAGAACACTGCCAAGAAACCGGTCATTCCATATTGTTCGAAAAAACCCATATTATTTCTAAGAGCTCCTTCTTTTATTCCAGGAAAATCCGCGAATCTCTAGAGATCCGAAAAAATCCTCATAATATCAATCGAGAGGAAGGATACTACTTGTCTCCCATCTGGAATCTCAGTCTAGAGCCGCCGTCCGGTCCCGCTCCCACGATGCAGCCACATGATTGGCCAGCGCGCGCTTCTTGACGTTCGCGCCACGAAGTGTGCCGATACGTCCCGATACTGTCCTGGCATTTGGTTTTCACCTCTGGCTGCGTTGAGTAGTTGAGTTACTGTGACCAAATGCCCATCTTGGTAGTTAGTATTCGCCTCTGGTTGCGTTGAGTAACTGAGTTACCGTTGCTAACTACCCATCTTCCTGTCTTTTGTTTTCTTTTTCTTTGTTCTCCTGAAGAAGCTACATACAATTGTAGCGAAACGTCGAGATGAACCCACTTTTGGGTCACTCACAAATGACACGGTCCAAACCCGGAAGAAGAATAAACTACAATTTATTATTTATTCTTTCATTTATCATAAATAGATACCTGTGGTAAACTTTGTGTAATATTGCATCACCAAATTCTTTCGATTAAAACAAGATTTAGCTTGTGGGCACGAAACAAACAATGTGTTTCAAACTTTAAAGTTTAAATGTTCCTCAACTCTATATTCCCCGAAGAACAATGGTATATTAATTTGTTTATAGATATTTTAAACTTTTGCAATATAAAATCAAAATGTAATTGCACACTTTTTACCTACTTGACTAGCTTTTATTTCATATTGATGTCCATACTATTATAAAATCGGTTTGATAACGCTAAAATTGGCTTTTCTCGTCATTTTTAATTGTTTATTTTAAAACAAGGTTTAGAGCCAATACAAACTTAATCTTTCAGGCCTAAAGCTACACTAGAAATTACCTTATATCTTCTGCGTGGGGAATTAATCTTCTCAGTAATATTATAGACACTACTTTTTATATTATATTAACTAAACAAATTTTTGTGAATGGGTACTATTATGACTTTCATGCCACTGTTTCAGCCTTTTTTTCTTCGTTTAACTTCGCGTGTAAGGCGATATATTTTCAGATAAAGTT